TTTTGATAAATTTCGACTGTTGAAATTTAATTCGGCATTTTACTTTTATAAAATTTTTGTGAAATTATTTCGACAATTTTCTACTGTAGAATGTAGAAATTATGATTATAATTTCTTTGTCATCTATACCACTGGTGCGATTTAGTAAAACCATAAAAACATTTTGATAAAAATATTTAATTTCAATTGTTATTGAGACAAAAAAGCTTGTTTGAAGTTATTTTTTAAGATTTTTATTTAGTTAAAGGGTTTATTCTAATTTATTTAAAAATTATCAAATTGTTTAATTTTTGTTTTATTCAAAGTTGAAAAAAAAAATTTATTTTGAAAATTTTGCTTATTAGTTCACTCTAAATAAATTAAATATGGTTGCTATATACAAAAACTTTTTAAAATGTTATTTCGAACCAGAAAGCAGGGCTTAAACTATATTAATTTGCCGGCCATTACTGTGCCACTGTTATTGTTTAAAGTGCTTTTTTAATTCATCCCAAAAATAGTTACTATATAAGCAATTAATTTATAATATACTATAAATCAATAATGACACTTTTGAAGGGCCGCATTTTAACATAATCGTTTAATCCCTGCCACAAAGAAAGCCAACGATTAATTTGACTAATTTAACAAGATTTTAAAAACAAAATTATTGCTCATATTTGGTTAAATTAGTTATTAGCTCACTATGCCTCAAAAATGATATCTCAGGATATTATTTTGCGCAAATACGGTATTTAAATATAAATAAAGTGTAGATTTTACTCAGAATCAATTATTAAATTTCTTTAATTAATTTGATTGATCATTAGTCACATATCACAAAAAACAAATGAAATTGATATCGAACATTTTAGGGACCCAGGGCTGGACCCATGGGAGCCTTAACCTATGCCTGATCTGGCCCGACCACTTTATTCACTATATACATATTTATACTAGTGCATAATTTTTAATTGATCATTATACCGTTATAGTTGACAGGAAAACTATTTTACGTAGTGACAAGGTGAGACCCTTGGCTAAAAACGAAACCTTTGAAAGACGAAACTGTGAGAAAAATAATGGCAAACTATAATTAGTAAAAATATAAGCTTTTAACAGGTAATACTCGGATAAATAAAATGAAATTGTTTTGTTATACATAATAGGTTTAGCGTTTCTGTCATAATAAAAATAATAAAAGTAATATTAAATGATTTTAATAGAAATATTTACAAATACGAGCATTTTGAAAGTTCCTAATTAGAAATTAAGTTTATTATATACTATTTCATGGAAATGTTCCAGTCAGAGTCCAAAGTTTTTCACAGACATTCCAAAGATACATAGTGTACGCATCTCCATGCAAAGATGCACGCTTATTACATGCAAGAGACCTTTCCAAAAGAGTAGAAATATTTTTACGAGTTTCATCTATAAAGAAATGAAATCAAAAAAACAAAGAAACCAAATTACATAGATAAACACAAAATAAGAATGTTAGCAAATTGAATACCTGTTAGCACATCTTTTCTTGTTAGATCCAAAATACAATTTTCTTTACTCAAGATTTCTTCAAGAACCCATAATAAAAAATAAGCACTATCCTTACGCACAACATCTCTAATTTCAGTATCTTTCTTTGTCAACAATGTAGAATCCTGCATTAATGATGCAGTAGCTTGATCGGTAGACAAAATCGGTATAGTCATTGCAGAATCATTATTTTCTTGTAATGATTTTGACGGATTTTCATCAATAATACCAAATTCTTCAGATACCAGCCGCAGACACTCCTTTACTGCAGCCAACGAAACTGCATCCCTTAATTGTGGACCAACATGATGACAAATGTGAATCAACAATTTAGCTATTGCATCTCGTGGGTCTTGACTTTTGACATTTGCAACATTAGGGAGGTTGTTTGTGGAATCATTATCTTGTAATGCATCATTTAAAATCCTCATGCTAATAATAGGAATCGCCCTGATCAACGATGCAAAAGAGTTTGCGAGCGTTATGATAATTTCGCTTTTTTCTAATTCAGAAATTAGTGGAGAATCGAAAAAAACTAATTTGTGAAAATATAATATATAGATTAATAAATTTCATATAATTATAAAAGTAAAATGCCGAATTAAATTTCAACAGTCGAAATTTATCAAAATGTAGAGATTAATTTATATGCAGAAATTATATTAACAGTTGAAATAAATTTCGAAAGTTGAAATTTATCAAATTGTAGGAATTAATGTGGCAGATTAAAATGAAATTCAGATTAAAATGAAATTATAATATAAAATCTCGAAAAATAATTTTTTTTGTGATGCATTTTTTAGGGTTAGGGGTCAGAATTAGGGGTTAGGATTAGAGTAAAATATATTAAACAAGTATAAGTGGGTTTTAGAAGGTTAGGAGGTTGAATAGAAAATGTAGATTTCATTTTAAATTATGATCTACGACATTTATTATCTGATCTCGTTATGGTCGAATGCAGGGGTTGTTACAAATAACATGTAATCTACTCTTTCGATTTAGCCAGGGCGGCCCCCCCAAAGTGCCAGTGACGCAGCCACAGTATATATACAGTATTGTAATATTGAATCACGTACGCACAATTGTTATCTAAAACAAGTGATCTACAATATGCAACTAGAAGAGAACCAATGAGTTGCACTAATTGGTCTTACGTCACTGGCACTTTGGAGGGGCCGCCCTAGCTAACTCTACTCTTTCTTTTTGATCCGTTGACCCTATCCTTGTCAATATGTACGGGAATGTATAACTTGATAGAAAATTAACGCTAGAGTTTTGAATTGTCGCCATTCAGAATTTTGAATTGTCGGAATCTTGACTATTCGGCATTTTGATTTGTCGGGATTTTATCTTGTAGGAATTTTATCTTTGGATTTTTTTATCTTATCGGGATTTTATCTTGTTGGGATTTTATCTTATCGGGATTTTAACTTGCAGGATTTTATCTTGTTGGAATTATGTATGTCGTGATTAGCACTGTCGGGATTTGTACTGTCGGGATTTTGGATGTCGGGATTTTGTGGTAGATCCGTTTTCGATATGACATATAATTGACATTACATGTTTTCGACAATCCTTTTCTTGGATAAGACATTTCTTCGACAATTATTTCTTCGACATATAATTCTAACCAACACAAACTCTAAATCAACTAACCCTAAAGCTAAATCGAGCCAATTTTATGTCGAGGAAATTGTTGTCGGGGAAATGTTCTGTCAAAGAAAAGGATTGTCGAAATGTATAATGTCGAATATAAGTCTTATCGCAAAAATGTGCTGTAGATGAAATAGCATGTCGACATTACGGTGTCAGGAAAATGAGGAATTGAGCAACAACAGATTTACTTGAATTGGGAATTTTTCTGTAATCGGTTATGGATTTTAATTTGACGACACGCGTATATCAGATATATTATGTCTCTATTCTTATTGAAGAATATGACCTATTTTTTATTACTTGTTTTTCAAATAGTTAGGTTTATGACATTCGAATTTTTTAAGACCAGGTTACAATTAAATTTAAACTTTCGCCCTAGCCAAACTTCTTTTATTGAAATGAAACATTTTAATATTTAACCCTATATTATATGGCATTATTATAGCTTAGGCAATAAAACTATACTACATTATAAAATCAGCAAATTAACATATCGATAAAAGTGGTGTAAGAAAATCAATATTAATGTTTTTGTCGTGGAAGATGGTTTTTAACCTGAGGCTTGATTTGAAACAAGCATATAAAGGAGTTCTTTGCGTATAGTAATGATTCGCCACAAAGTAATTAATGTAAATAACGACATATTGAAACTTTTAGTACTGAGAACGTACGTATGTGCGTATGTATGTTTAATAGTTATGATCGAAATTGTCATGATCTACATCACGTGACTAAAACCGAGCACAGATTATAATGTCGTTACAACTTCAAGAAATAATTCATTAATTATTGTTAATTGTCGAAACTAATGATCCATTTTTACATTTTCTTAATTCTTCGGAACTATCAGTCAAATCCCCAGATGAACCATCTACATCTTCATCTGAAGATGAATCTTCTTGTTCTTCATTTGTTAACTCATGATCACTCAGGTTTTCTTTCAAATTCTGATCGTGTTCCTCATCGGATGCATAATTAGTACAAACTTCCTCGATTATTTTGAGATTTTTCTTTGAATTTTTGTCTGAATTTTAAAAACCCAATTACTGTTTGGAATAAAGAATCGGAACTAAGTTCATTTATAGAAAATTATATTGTGTCAAAAAGACGCCATCGGCAAAGAGGAAGCGCATATAGATCTAACTCATAAATACATGCCACGCACTCTAAAAAATGAAGATATAATATAAAAACCTTGCAAATAGTATAAAAAATGTACATTAATACTAACCAAAAAAATGAATTGTAAAAATGGAAAAACCATCACTGGAATAATTCTCTCGTATAAAGTTATAAGCATCTTTTGAAAGTAAAATCAATTTTTTATAATCATCTTCTTCATGCTTTCTAGAAGTGGATGTAGGTTCAAACGGACCAGAAGATACTTCCGCAAAAAATACTTCCAGAAGATGATACTTTACACTAAGACATCCTTTTAAATCTGGCTTTTTGTCCGGGCCATTTTTTGAATTGCGATTTCGTGTGCTTTCACTGGAGCTATAATCCCTTAAATATATATATTCAGAAAAAGAATAGATTTGAGGAATATTATTGAAAGAACAAATTTCTTACCACTCTACCGCAAAATCATCTATATCATGAAAGATCAATCTTTTTATATCATTAACAATGTCATGTTTCCATGTTGATTCCATGACACGCTTATCATTTCTCTTGTAAAGAAAATTTTGATTTATAGCCAATCTACATTAAAAAATAAAATTAAATATAAAAGGAGAAATAAATTCGTTAATGGCCTCAAAATCTAAAAGATAGTTTTCTTCAAGATCAGAGGGGTATGGTGGCGTAACTTTTGTTACGAGTCTTAGTCGTATAAATTTTTTAAGTGCTGAATTATTGATTTGTCCCATAAAAGTTTATACGGTTGTTTTTTAGAAACTGATTTTCAAAGACCCGCCTTAACAAGAGCTTTTTTTGATCTGTTTAGGAAGCCACTTTTTGGTGGTATTGATTATTCCTGAAAACAAAACATCGCTTTCACTTATGTCTGTGCATAACGCAACTTGTTGCCCGATAATGCGAACAACCGGGTCAGAATTATCGATAGTTATCTATTGTTAGAAAATTTCATAAGTTGAAAAAACTATATGATATGCCATAAAATAAGTTTTTTGATTTCTTACACTACGAAGGCGATGTTTTTTTTTGGTTGTGAGATCAAAATAATAATCGTTTGGGAGTAGATCTAACCAACTGAAACGAAGACACTCCGAAGTAACAAGTCCCCAAAATGTACTGCGGTTCCAAATAAATCCCCAAACCTTTTCACATTATCATCTAGTTTCTGCAAAAGTAAAAATTAATTTGTGAGACATCACAATATCATCGTGAAACTTATTTGAAGAAATATATTTTCAACTCCATAAAAACCAGACGTTAATTTTCGACGTAAGTTCACATGGTTGCACCCCACCAACCGAAAATTGAATCTTGGTATCATTATTGGACGGTTACACCCCACTAATAAACCAAAAATTTTCATAAAACTCATCATTTTATTGGACGGTTGCACCCCACCAATATTCAGAGAATAAGTATTATACAATAACTCATGAAAATAAGGCTTTTGTCATCATGGATTGAACTATTATTAATTTTGTAAGTAGAAAAAATATACTTGCCTCCGATTTTGCTGAGTTAGTTGTTTCATTTACATATTTGTTATGTATTATGACTTTAATTGCAGTTTTATTAGTGGTGTTGTGGGGAAACTGATCCATAACGGCGTTAAATATTAGGAACGCGTATAGGCTATACTGTTGACCAGTCCGTTGCATATACTGAGTATAACTTATCATAGTTAAAAATTTTATTCGGAGAAAAAATAACTGATTGGAGATTCACTCCCTAAAATCTGTGCCTCCAACCCTAAACGTAACACGATCAGAAAAATTCAAAACAAACGTTTGTTTTAAAAAAAATCGGTTATTCTCAAAAATTTACATAAAAAACACCTTTGGTACTCTAACAAAAAGTTTTCCTTGAGCGATTTTACTATAAAAACCACCTTTATCTAACGTTAATATAAACTCTAACCCTAACATAAACGAACTTTAAAATTTTGAGGATAACCGTGACTGTAAAAAATTTGTTGGCGATACTGGGGAAGATAATTTGACAGACACAATTATTCATTTGTCGCGATAACAACAAGCAAGCACTAAAGACTGGGTTGTTTTTGACACGTATAGCTTTATAAAGTCCATATTATTATTCCATGGAAGTGGTCTTACTGAACTTTAAATGCATGCAATTTTTAAAATCAGCACACCCAATTATTATGACTTTAGTGATTACACTACTAATACTTTTATTTTTTTACAATCGAGGTCCGAGGAGTTGGTGTAGTTCCTACAAGTGGTAATCGAACACCTGTATTATTTCTTTGAAAGACTTGAACCTCTAATTCGTTGCTTTCTATTTTTTCAATTATTTGGATGATCCCTCGAATTGCATTCGGGAAATAAAAGCAGATAAATACACGTGTATTAGAAATGTATAGCTCAATAATAAAGTATCACCTTCAATTCCAACATTGTAATTATAGACAAAATTAGTTCGCAAATGCCTTCAATATATATAGGAGCTTCTAATTGTGCTTTTTTGGTTAATCGCGAAATAACTCCTTTAGGGCGATCCATAATGTAAACAGTGCCTTTATTTTCTAAGTAATTATAAAAAAATTAATAACAAAGTCGATCAATATATCATATAATATAGATAACGTTCACTTACTGAAAAGTTGTATTCCAAATGTACAAAGACACTCGTAATTTTTAATTGTAGTTGGCGGAAGTGATTCAATTATCGTATCGAACATATCTTTCATGAGCTTTAATAGTTTCATTCTATCTCCTAAATATTTTTTATCGTGAATGCCTCCTGTTCTAGCTACCTCTCCAGCTAGTATTTCTCTTGAACTATTACGAAGTTTTAGTAATATGTCGATCTTCCTGCCCTATTAATATTGAAAAAGAAATTAATTCGAATTATCTATATGTTATAATATTACAGTTTTAAAGGCTCATTACACGAATAATGGATTTTCCTATTTTTCTTTTTTTGTTTTTGCGCATTTTTGATGCAAACGAACCACCATCTGATCTGTAAAAATGAAAGCGTACTTAACCACCAATATTATAAGAATATAGTAACGATTTTTGTTTGAATACATGACGTACTTTCCTATTTTGGTTTCTTCAATGTCCTTTAATGCCATATCAACAATAAAAGTCCATACATGACTTACAATCCATGCTTCCAAATTATCCTCTGCTAATGCATTCACGCCTTGCTCCCATTCAATAACACTACATTGATAAAGAAAAAAAATCAGTCATGGATTGAAATATTATATAAATGATGAGAGTTAACCCACAATTTATTGAACACTAAGTGGATCCACTCCAAATCATAATGTAATTTTGAATTATAGGTTTCCCCGTTTTTCAAATATGGTTCCATGACGGTTTCTCGAAGATCGTCGACATTTTTCTATGGAGGTTTAGAAGATTTATGAATAAATGTCTCAATTCGGTCAATCTTTATCAAACAGAATACCTTGTAATATTTCATGACATATTTTTTGATATCATCTTGTACGGCCGGAAAAGACTTTTTATTAGTGTTTAAAATTGTCTCCTTTTCCTCAGGACTAAACAAATCCATAACTTCCTGACAATCAGTATCTAATATAAATGAGTGTGCAAGTCTTAATGAAATATGTAGACAAAGAAATGATTAGTCATTACACATCTATTTAGTAACCAATATGATCAATGCAATGAATTCAGTATATCTACGTCTCAGAACGATGGGTCACTGCCCAATCATATAAGACGTCTTCAACAAATCTGCCCGAAGGAAGGTTCCATTTGTCGTCCGCATTTATCGCCTTAAATCTCGAAATAAAATCATCAATCAACTTTTTCTCCAACTTCTTTCTCTCCTTGGCCTTCTTGTCTTTGTTGTCATCTTCGCCTTTATTCTCGTCGTCATCTTCGTCAACATCCTCATCTTCATTCTCGTCGTCATCTTCGTAGTCATTTTCGTCGTCATCTTCGCAGTCATCTTCATTGTCGTCTCCATCGTCATCGTCAATCTCATCATCATTAACCTAGATATTGAAAATTACATATAGGTGAACCGGAAAATATTGACTAACAGTATTTTACGTACTTCAGAATCTTCATCTGATACTTCTTCGTAGGTTCGCTTGCTGATATTATTCACTTTATTTGAGTTTTCAGCGTAAATTACTCTATTTATTTTTCTCGGTGTCCTTCTGAGTGGAGAATTTTCTTGTTTGTTTTTGATGGTTCCAACTTTCCCCCCGTTAACTGTGTTAATTGACCCTTTTACAGATACATTTATTGGTTGGTGTAGGTGAACTTGTTTGCGTGTACGTTCCTTTTCCCAGGATTTTGCGATTTTATAATCTGGTCTAGGATTCTAGTATAGAAAATTTGGAAGTTAGTAATTATTGCTTATGCTTAAATTACATCCCATTTGAGTATCATTCATCCCATTTGAGTATCAGGTAACCTAGGAAGTTACCTCACCCCAATGGGCCCAGTGTTAGAATTGGCTAGGAACCTTTGAACAGCAAGTAACCTAGGAAGTCACTTGCGCTCTAACACCGGTTTTATGTGCTTCAATTTCATCCCATTTGAGGATCAGGTAACCTAGGAAGTTACCTAACCCCAATGGGCCCGGTGTTAGAATTGGCTAGGAACCTTTGAACAGCAAGTAACCTAGGAAGTCACTTGCGCTCTAACACCGGTTTTGTGGCTCAGCGAAGAGCCTTGAATGACGAAAGGCCTAGGAAGCCTACGATCGTCACGCCACTATTTTCTTAAAAAAAGTTTTACGCGCCTTTCGATATCTGTCATGGAGCTGTTGTGCTTTTTTTTGTCTCCTTCCTTCCTCCTTAGCAATTTTTTCAAGGCTTTTAAGGTATTCGTCGATTTTTTTATCAAATGGTTCGATATCACATTCATTTAAAAATCCGACTATATTCCATTTATTACATTTGCGAACGAAGTATTTATGTATTTTTGACATCGCGGACGGACTAATGTTGTTAGGCGAAACTTAAGAGTTTCGCCACTGACGAAACGCGAAACTAGTTTCGACTTTCGCCAAAAAAAATTTAAAATGGCGAAATGGCGAAATGGCGAAACTGTCGAAAGGTGACGAAACTGGCGAAACTGCTGAAAGGTGACGAAACTAAAAAAGATAGCAAAACTAATTAATTAAAACTCTTTTATGTAATTATCAATCTGTTTATTTCTATATATATATTCAAAATCCGTGGGAATTTATCCCGAATTATTGTCGTGGTGGGTAATCACTAAAAATATAATACTTATTACTGTAAGTATTGTATTTATTTTTTATACATATCGATATTTAAACATACTATATACATCGGTATCAATATAATACATAATCTAAAACTCGTGATCACCCGCCATCCCGACAATAATTCGGGATAAGTTCTCAGGGTGGTCCACGAATTTTGAATTTAGCTGTAACTAAAAAAACTCTTGGAATGCACTCTAATTATCATACATTTTAAGTTTTAAAGTTTAAATCTTAATTTCTAAGTTTTTCAGTATAGTATTTGGGTTTCGGAAAAGGTTTCGGGTTTCGATTTCGGGAATTTATATATAGTTTCGGGTTTCGAAGATTTTTTTAGAAAAAGAACAAAACTATTAATGTTTCATTCGATATAATGAAGTTTTAATAATAAACTCTCGATACAATATATAGTGAAGATTTTTTTAAAAAAACATATATTATATTATTTTTTATTCATTAACTAGTAATGTTAGATTTGCGGGCGACTTCATCGCCCGCTTGCAATTTTGAATCACATTGTTTAAAGCGTGACATATCTCAATCAAATATAGTTGTGTACTAGAATTGATTAAAAGTATATGTTGTGATTTGGCATTACTGCTATTTTCATAATTTCTGGGACACCTGATAAAAATTGACCGAATGGTACTCCAGCCGTTTTGAAATTTCGGAATAATAGATTCAATAAAAATACAAAATTGTACGTATGCGCGTAAGTACGTACGTAACTTTTACATTAGCAATTAAATAGTGCGAAAGTTTTACCAGCACTACTAGACTTTATATGTTAGCTCTACAAAATTTTTGGCCAACGTTATTTACAAACATTATATGCCAGAAACTTATGTAAAATTACCCAAATTTCTACCTGTATATAAAAGCCATGATACTAGTTCTGCAGATAAATTTAAATATCGACACGTTTGATATTATTAAATTTTCATTTGAACACTTGCCCAACATGCTTAGTTTGTGCGAAAACATATATACATAATCAAATCACAATGTATTCGGTCAATTTTTATCAGGTGCTCCAGGAATTATGAAAATAGCAGTAATTAATAACTTTTTGGTCAAGTCGACAAGTTGGGGCAAAGCACAAATATTATTTTATAGGATACATGTATGATCGATGGTGGTAATAATTCGCATTTTATTTTTATAACTGGTAATTAGAACATGATCATGCGGGCGGCTTCGCCGCCTATAATATGCCAAGATAATAGATTTATTTGTTTTATTCTTAGTCTTATTTCGGAAAGAAAATTTTCTTAAGTTCCATCTTGAATTTAATGCACCAATTTGGGGCCCCTTTCCTGGGCCAAAGCTGATGCATTAGATTTAAAGCATTTCCTCCTGTCATTAAATGTTTCTTCTCGAATTTGATGCACCAATTTGGACCCCTTTGGGGCCAAAGTTTATGCATTAGGTTCAAAACTGGTGCATTAAATTTAAATCTTTTATTTGAACAATGCCAGGATGTCAGACATTTTCCAATTACATAGTTTCCAAACTACTGACGGTCCATCGTTTGATCCATGACAACAAATATGCAGTGCAAAAAATTTTGACAAAATACAATAAACACAAGATAGGTTTTATTAACTGTAGAGGTATATAACTTTAATCTTGCAATAATGATAACTATGTAATACTATTAACAAACTATTTGACTTGCACTATTAATTGCAAAACATACACAATGAATTTTTAATACTTATTTTTTTTAACAACCTTAATAAAAATAAAAATACAATTCCTAATATGCGAAGAAATCTGAACTTTAATAAAAGTTTTTGAATTAAAGAAACATTAATACAGTCTCGGATATTACCAAATTTGGATTATGTAGATTATACCCTTTTTTGTACAATTAGAACATTCTTGATACTTCCATTTCAGTCTATTGCTATTTTATATTAATCTATGTTGATAAAATTATGCTAATCATCATTTA